AAAAAAAAAAAAAAAAAAAAAATTACCCAGTCTCAGGCAGTTCTTTATAGCACTGTGAAAATGGACTAATATATATGATGTCAATAATCTTGTAGGTTAGTACCCTTTCTGTATCAGAATTGGCAATGAGTTGTGCTTAGTTCCTAAATTCCATCTCTCCAAAAGGAAGACCATGAATAATAACTGAAAAAGCACAGCACTGAGACTCAGATAACTCTGGGTTCGAGTCTCAATACTGTGCTACCCAGTACCTTTGAACATGTTACTTGGTCCCTTAGAGGGGACTTATCTCCCTCACATCCCTTCTTGTCTGCATTTTCAGAGGCTCAGTGTTCTTGTCTTAAAATGGGGACAAGAATATATTCTTGGCAGTGATGTTGTAATGATTCAATGAGATAATATGTGAGCCCAATAAATGGTACCATCCAGACTCTTAATAACAAGGCTGCGTATCTGTAACAGGCCTAACTACTCCTTGAACCTTAACAGGGCATCTCCATAAGCTGGACCCAGGAGGCCAAAACACAATGCTGTAGGAGACCCAGGTCAAACAACAATGTCAGGGCCACCTGGATGGAGCAAGGTGGTGGCTCCTGAAGTTAGAGAGCTGTCAGGGCTGGCCGGGGAACAGATGTAGCAATGGACTGCCAGTGGTTTGCTTAATTCCCCTCCTCCAGCAGCTGTAGGCTTGGGCTGCTGAGGCTTTTGCCAGGAGTTGCAGGCTGAGGCTCAAGACAGAGAGTTCAGGACAGCCTTGTGCACTTTTGGAATTTGGGTATTAGCTAATAGAGCTCTCTGGCTGTCCCATTCAGCATTTGTGAAATCTCCTCTTCCTAGTCCCAGGGCAGACAAGGACGTTCTGGGCAGAAAGAAACCATCAGTGTGCATAGGAAGAACAGCAGCTTCTTAATCAGTCCAGGGGACAGAGCCTAAGCTAGAGCGTTGTTCTGCTCTCATTTAATTATCAAAATGATTCCTCTTGTTCTGTCCTCCCTAGGGCTGCATGCCCCAGATTCCCTGGGCCCAGTAATTGCCTCTCTGTTAATAGAAATCATCAGTATTTATTACACCAAGTGTGCCATCTTATTTCGGCTCTTCTTGTAGCAGCATTAAGGGGAGTGCTTGATAGCATATCACTTAGTGACAAGAGTAAAGGCCTCTGAACTGTTCTCTTTGCTGGGAGGGCTGAGGAATCATGGGCAGAGCCTAATGAGAGAGGCTGAAGGGCTGTGTGGGGTCTGCAATAGGGCCCTGACATGGCCCTGGGTGAGGAACAGGCACAGGGCTCAGCAACAAGGGACCTGAAACCCAATGAGATGAGCACTCCCACCTTCTCCCCAGCAGAAGTCCCCTGGGGATTTCTGTTCTTCTATAGGGTACATAACAATAGGTAGTGACTTGAGTTCAAATTCTTGCTTTACTGCTCAGGGCTTATGAACTTTGGCCTCTTGGAATGCCAGTCTTCTTATCTATAAAACAGGGTGAATAACATCTACCTCCCAGGGCTTGGTGTGAGGCTCAAATGAAAAAAATAATGTGAAAAGACTCCACTGGGCCTGCCATAGGAGGCATGCCACAAACAACTCTTCTTCCCTTCCTATCCCCCTCTTTCTTTTCAGGAGTTGATGCTGTGGGGTTGAGATGACATGACATATGTGACTGGGCCACAACAGTGCCTGGTATGAATGCTGGTTCCTCCGTGCAGCCTCTTCAGCTTCTCTGTGTCCAGTGATAGACAAACTCATCCAAGACAAGGCTGAGACGGGGCCTCACAGTCCTGGAGTGTACATGGATTTGGGCTGTAGACCAGGATGGCTGCCACTATAGCTTCCAGACTCCCATGGGCAATGGTGGAGAATCCCTTTCTCCCCTCTAGTCAGTGTAGTGCTCTGGCTTGCTGTCTGCCCACCTCTGTGTGCTTTCAACCCTGCCCAGGGACCCATTTCTGAAGAGGTGGGTGCTATGTGTGGCCTCAAGGAGACTGGGCAGGTTTGGGGTCAAATGCAGAAGTAACCCAGCCCCTTCTGATGACCATATCTTCAGGCAGCTGTCTTTAATGTCCTGGAGTGACTCAGCAGTTCAGGAAGCACAGTTATTGAACACATACTATGTACTTTCAAGTGAGGCTCGGGGAAGCTTCCAAAGGCCCCAGTAAATAGGAGATGGGAACTGGAACCCAGGGTCAGCTTATCCAAAGCTCTCTTCACTCCTATAAGGGTGCCCTGCTAACAGTGACTGAGCAATTTATGGAGGGGTTTAAACTACATCTGTTACACGGAGGGCATTGTTTAGGAAGTTTTTGCTAATGTGTAAATATCCACATGTCGATTCTCTGGTATAACAGGCATGAGTGTGTTTTCTAACAGTGTGGCCCTAAGAACACAGGGGTTACTTTGCAGCAGGCTGTGCTAGTGGATGGGGAACGGTGGGGTAGATAAGATGACCAAGGTTTCTGAATGTCAGGATGTTCTCAAGGTTCACAACTCCTAGGCAGGAACAAATCACCATCATTTCTTCAAGGGGCCAAAGGACACACTGCTTTGTTCCTATGGCACTGTGCTCGTTCGTTCCCATTAGTTATGGGCTATATTGTGTCCTCGAAAATTCATATGTTGACATCTTAACCTCCAGCACCTCAGAATATGACCTTCCTTGGAGACAGGATCTTTAAAGAGGTAATTAAGTTAAACTGAGGTCATTGGGGTGGGCCCTAATCCAATAGGACTAGTGTCTTTGGAGAAATCTGGACAGAGACATGTACAGAGGGAAGACAGCGTGAAGATACAGGCAGATGACAGCCATCCACAACCCAGGAGAGGGGCCTGCAAAAGATCCTTCTCTCAAAGCCCACAGGAGAAACCAACCTTGCCAACACCTCATCTCAGACCTGCAGCCTCTAGAACTGTGAGACAATAAACTTCTGTTCTTTAAGCCACCTAGTCTATGATACATGTTACAGCAGCCCTAGGAAACTAACACACTGTTCTTTTAATTTTTGCTTGAAACTTAGTGTCCCCTCTCTGGTTAGGAAGAAAAGGTTGATACCTTCCTGTTCCTGGCTGATATTGTTTCCTTCAGATCAGCTTGACAGCTGGTTTTACTGGTGATACTGGACCCACTCCAGTAATGGAAAGAGAGAGGCAGAAATGTGGAGAAACTGAGGTAGAGACCAGCAGTGTCAAAGCAACAGGGACAGGAGGTGATGCGAAGGGCCACAGCTGCAGAGAGAGGCAGGAAGGGGCCATGGGTCTGCACAGGCCTCGGCAGTGACTGGCTGCCTGTGCTCATCTCCAGAATGCTAGACACACATGAGTAATTACAGAGGTTTTCTCTGGGCAGCCTCCCTGGCTGCTTCCCGTCTACCCCTCACAGGCGCGTAATGGAATTAAATGTGACTCCGCTGCAGTTCCGTGCAGTGACTTATGCCACTGCAGTCAATAAAAGCCACTCTTGGAAAAAAAGTAGATTACAGGTCAGGAAAGGATGGGCAGTTGCTGAGCTGCCTCTGATCGTTCCCTGTGGAGGGACTTCAACATCCCTCCTCTCTTCATTTCTACCAAATTACCCATTGCAGGCCCTAGCTTTGGATTTGTTATTTAGATTGACTTTGCCTCGGTTCCTCTGACATTGATGTGGCACTACAAAATTATGCAGCATGGGATCCGGAGTTTTCCAGAGGAGGCATTTTCTCTGGCATCTCACTGAAAGTGCCAGCCATGCAGACGTTGAAGGGGGCTTCTAGGCACAGGCATGTGGGCCCTTCCTCCTGATGCCTTCTAGAGGAGGAAAGGTCAGCGTAGTCTCTAACCAGGGGGTCTTACCTTACATGGGTGGGGATCCACTCCATATGTTTCCAATGTCTGTGCTTTTCTTAAGAAGTTCAGCTCTGATGTTGCTGGTGTTTGACCACTGGAATAAACAAAATGAGATGATTTCTAGGTGTCCTGTTCTCACAGGTTCCCCTGAGATAAACTGTCTATGAAGACGTGCTCAAGGTGAGCCACATATCTCAATTTTTGTAGGGTGTGCTCCCTGCTTGGTTCTAGGACCAATTTCAGAGACTCCTACTAGAGTCTCTGTCTTCAGATGTTTTCAGAGTGAGGCAGGCTAACTAATGAATTACTTGGGCTGAGTGTGAACCATAGGGAGTGGTGGGGACTGTGGCAAACGGTAGCCTAACCTAACGACTACAGCTGCACTTTAGTGCTGAGATTACCATCCCTGAGAATGCAGTCCCCACTACTTGGGAGGCAAAGGTGGGAGGTGAGGATCGCCTGAGCCCAGGAGTGCGAGGTTTTAGTGAGCTATGGTCACAGCCCTGCACTCCACCCAGAGCTACAGAATGAGACCCTGTCTCCAAAATAAAGAAAATAATGCAGGGCTCAGCTAGATATTGTGATTTTAAATGAAAAGTCAGAGATACAGATTTTTATGTGGTATTTTACAATTTAAAATACTATGGGGTAAAACAAAATACATCTACAGGCTGGAGGCAAGTCATAGGCTTTTCACATGTGATCTGATCTAGACTGAAAAACAAATAAGGGGCTCATATAGCTGGCTGGTGCCACTCAGCCCTCTTCCTTTGCCAAAAGGGAACACAGGGGTGAGGAGAGGCAGAAGGAGACAGTGCTGAGCTCCCATGCTTCACAACAGCTGTCTGTCTACAGGGTGATGACCATGAAAAGGAAAGACGCTGAAAAAGGCAGAGATCAGCCCCTGCTCCAGGCCATCTGAAGAGGCCTTTGGCATCACCCCTTCCCACTGCCTCTTTAGCAGGTGTGTCGACGGGCTCATTGCAGACCCAGAGGCAGAATCACCATCAGGTTCTTGCCTGGGTCCAGAGCTCTGCAAAGCAGATATACTTCCATAGAAACAGTGTTGGTTTTGGTGAAGAGAGGTGGGAAACTTGTGAAGTCAACATCTCTGATGACTGGTGGGCAGGACTGGGCGTTGCTCATTTCTAAGCTATAATTTACCTCAGGTGATATGGCCAGGCAGTAAAATAAGCTGACACCAGGAAGGAGCAAGCCAGACTCCCCCTAGTGTTCCTCTGGAGAAGCGTCAGTCAGGCAGCACCTTTATGTGCCAGCCTCTGTGCTACTTGTTGGAAAATAAACCAAGAAACACGGCATACAGTCTGGGCTCTAAAGAGCCCATATTCAAGTTGCAGCAAGGAAGCATGGACACATTTTTACATTATGAAGACGAGGTAGGACCTGTGTACGGTGGTACTCCTGTGAATACAGATTCTATGTCCACCAGCATACCTCAGGCACAGGGTAGGTAAGTTTGGAAAATACCTGTGTGGCAAGCAGAGGGCTGGCTAGAGCACCGCTTCTCTTTCCAGGGAGTGTCCTTGTCTGCTGGGGGAGTGGGCCCTGTGGGCTCCATTTACCCCTGGACTTGCCCCAAACTTCAAAGCGGGCATCATTTCCTGGAGGAATCCCCTGCTTTGAACTAGGTTTCTGGATGGCTGTACCCTCTATTCTGACATCTCCTAAAGCCCTCCTGGCAGTTCCAGCACATCCCTTATCTCTTTGAAGGAACCTTGAGGGACCCTGTTCTCAATACCACACGCCCATGTTTATCCTGATCTTTACCACAAGGGGTCTCTATTCCCTAAGAGAGTGACTCTAGGTGCCATGGGGTCCCACACCCGGAAAGGCACACCCAGGGAGGGGGCAGCAAGTATCCAAGATTCTACTTGTTCAGTGTTGCCATTCTTCTGGGAGGGCCAGAAACCCATCCTGCCACAGGGCATGGGCAGAGGGGTCTGTTTACAAAGGCTAAGGAGGCTTTGGGTTATATTTGCTGGTAAAGTCATTGAGTGAAGTGTTTCTGGGGGCCTGTGGTCAGGGAAGGAACAAGAAGAAGCTTAGTATTAGCATTAGAAATATCCTGTTCTGCTCCCAGCTGCCAGGCATAGTCTTTCCTCAGAACAGTAGATACACAAACCTTTTAAAATGTTTTAAAAGGTGTAATGTATTATGATGACAATATAACATTTTATTTTCATATTTATTTTTCTTTTTTTTGAGACAGGGTCTTACTCTGTGGCCCGGGCTGGCATGCAGTAGTGTGAGTCCCGCTCACTGCAACCTGTGCCTCCTGGGTTCAAGCGATTCTTGTGCCTCAGCTTCCTGAGTAGCTAGGATTACAGGCGTGTGCCACCACATCTAGTTTTTTTATTTATTTACTTTTTTTTTCAGTAGAGACAGGGTTTCTGCCATGTTGCCCAGGCTGGTCTCGAACTGCTGGCCTCAGGTGATCTGCCCTCCTCTGCCTCCCAAAGTGCTGGGGTAACAGTTGTGAGCCACTGCGCCTGGCCAACACTGCATTCTATATCCCTTTTTTCCCTCATAGTTTGTCAGTCTGGAGAATCTGTGCTCTACACCAAGTGGAGCCCAAACACCCTATTGTTACTTTTTAAAACCAGTCTTTGTAGAAAATCCCACTTCACGTGGGTGCAAGGCTGCATTAATACTGTTTTATGGTATTCAGCATATTCTGAGCAAAGTGAGAGAAGCTGAGAAAGATGTGGCTCCACATTTGAAGCCACGTCTCCTCCACTTCCCTCTGTGCAAAGTCAGGGACGCCAGGTAGGGACTAAGTTAGGAGGGGCTGAGGACATAGCCCTGAACTAAAGTGCTCCCAAGGAACCCTCAGCATTTATGAATCAGCCCTGCGCAGTTCATCCTCTGCTGAGAAGCCACCTGTCACACTGTCACAGACTGAAAGCAGAGGTCTGCCCTTTTTCATATCCTTACTCAACCTCTCCTTTTTCTTTCTTTTCTTTTAAACAGAGTCTTGCTGTCACCCAGGCTGGAGTACAATGGCATAATCTCGGCTCACTGCAACCTCTGCCTCCCGGGTTCAAGCGATGCTCCTGTCTCAGCCTTCTGAGTATCTGGGATTACAGGCACCTACCACCATGCCTGGCTAATTTTTGAATTTTTAGTAGAGACAGGGTTTCACCATGTTGGTCAGGCTGGTCTTGAACTCCTGATCTGAGGTGATCTGCCCACCTTAGCCTCCAAAAGTGCTAGGATTACAGGCGTGAGCCACCGCGCTTGGCCTTTTTCGTCTTTTTTCTCTTCTGTGGTTTTCTTTGTGTTTATCTTTTCCTTTTCTGTAGTTCATGCTTTCCTCTGTATCTTCATTAAATATCTTAATGAGGCAAATATCTTTCAGAGGCCAATCCTTCTCTGTTTCCCCTATAACACGATTTCTCCCTCCTCTTTAAGCTTCAGTCTAAATGGCTCTTATTGGAGAGGGAGCCCACAGGGCTTGTGGCTGTGACTTGTGCTGTCAGTGTATCACTGACAATGGTACATCCTGGGGTCAGGAAGGCTGGGGAACATCACTCTGTGTCAGTAAATAGTCTACAAGAGCAGATGACACAGCGTGGAGCCTGTGTGCTCAGGCTGTGGAGAAACCAAACTGTTCTGGGCCTGTCACGTACCTGAGTTCTGTCTTGTGAATCTCAGCAATTTTCCTTTCCAGCTTCTCTGAATGTTTAGGGAAAAACTGGAACTTGGAGCTGTAGCCTTCAGGGTGTTTTCCTGAGTCATAATCCCCAATCTCCGCTTTCAAAAGGAGGGTGGAAAAAAACAATTGTGGAGACAGGTAAATCATCACTGACAAAGCAACAAGATATTAGCACACAGAGCAAAAGCCAAAGCACACATCAGATTTATAAGAAACAGTGGATTCTGAGCACAGCTGTGGGCTGGGCAGAGGGCAGGCCCCTCAGGAGCATGTACACCTTTGTCTTCCCAGGTGGACACATTGGGTTGACATTCAGGTCTATGCAGAGAGACAGTAGAGCTGACCTTGTGTTCTGAGGTCACCACAAGTAAGTTTATGATGAAAGAGCAGAGGCCTGCACTATGGTCCTCATCCATTCTGCCATGAGAAGAGGGTCTGGGAGCAATGTTCTTTGTGGCAGCATAGAAAATGGTGAACTTGATTAGAAAGAGAGATCCTCTTGGGGCTTAGCCAGTTCAGAAGCCTAAATCCTGGTTTGAGGATTTTAGCAGGGACACAGTAAATTGATGAATGAACTGTGATCCAAATTCAGAACTCAACCCTCAGTCCAAACCAAATAAAATCAATAAATTTGAATAAATATTCATTAAGGGCTGACCAGATGCCAGGCCCTTTGAGAGGCCTGCAGAATGGGAAGCCTGGCTGTAAGCAGAAAGTATTGTTGAGTTCAGAAGCGTCAAGTTCTAAGGCTCATTTCTGAAGTCCCTGCCAGGTGTGAGCCATTCTCCTCTGGCTATTCACAGAGAGAGTTCATCTCTAAACCTGATGAGATCTCTCAGCAGTAAACTTTAGGAGGGTAGAGGACCCGTGGTGCTTTCCACACCCAGGTCAGAATCCAGCTTTCTCCACGTGAAGCTCTCCATAGGGAGGATGGAGAGTATGACAAAATAAAGAGGAGGGGTCAGCTACGCTGTGGGTGCCCTTTTTCCTTCCCAGGTGAGAGCCACAACCACTTCAGATGTGAAGTCTTGAAGAAGGAGTAAATATTAAGAGGAAAACGTGACTTCTTCCCGTGGCTGAATATTATACTTGTGGCTTGTACTTTTTCATTACAAACCTACTCACTGTGTCTTCCAAATTACCTGGGAATTTCTTTTTTTTTTTTTTTTTTTTGAGACGACAACTTGCTCTGTCGCCCAGGTTGGAGTGCAGTGGTACGATCTCAGCTTACTGCAACCTCCACCTCCCGGGTTCAAGTGATTCTTACGCCTCAGTCTCCCGAGTAGCTGGGACTACAGGTGTTTGCCATCAAACCTGGCTACTTTTTTTTGTATTTTTAGTAGAGACGGGATTTTACTATGTTGGCGAGGCTGGTCTCGAACACCTGACCTCGTGATCTGCCTGCTTCTTGGTCTACCAAAGTGCTGGGATTACAGGCGTGAGCCACTGCGTCCAACCTACTTGGGAATTTCTACTGTTAGCAAGAGACCCAAGCCTGAAGTCTAGGGTGACCTTGAGCCTTGGAGTCTTGTTTTTTTTTTTTTTTTTTTTTTTGAGGCAGGGTCTCTCTGTCACCCAGGCTGGAGTGCAGTGGTATGATCATAGCTCACTGCAGCCTTGACCTCCCAGGCTCAAGTGATCCGCCCACCTCAACCTACAGCTGAGACTACAAGTATACACCCCCAGGACTGGCTAATTTTTTTTTTTTTTTTGAGACAGAGTCTTGCCCTGTTGCCAGGCTGGAGTGCAGTGTTGTGAGCTTGGCTCACTGCAACCTCTGCCTCCCATGTTCAAGTGATTCTCCTGCCTCAGCTGGGACTAAGGCGTGTGTCACCATGCCCAGCTAATTTTTGAATTTGTAGTAGGGATGGGGCTTTACCATGTTGGTCAGGCTGGTCTTGAACTCCTGACCTTAGGTGATACACCTGCCTCGGCCTCCCAAAGGGCTGGGATTATAGGCTTGAGCCACCACGCCTGGCCTAATTTTTAAATTTTTTGTAGAGATGGGGTTTCACTCTGTTGCCCAGACTGGTCTTGAACTCCTGGGCTCAAGTGATCTTCCAATCTCGGCATTCCAAACTGCTGGGATTATAGTTGTGAGCCACTGTGCCTGACCCAGGGTCTTTTATATTGATTATATTTAGAAAGTTCCAAGTGGAAAACAACAATATTGGACATCAAATACTTTTTTGAAGAAAAACAAATGATTGGGTAACACTGTAGAAAAGACTAGAGTATAAGACTTCACTTAGGTCAGGCCAGGCTTTCTCTGTAAAAACAAAATGGGTACTCAGGACTTGGAGACCAGCCTGGGAAACGTGGTGAAACTCCATTGCTACAAAAAAATAAAAAATGTAGTTGGATGTGATGGTGTACACTTGTTGTTCCAGCTAGTTGGGAGGCTGAGGTGGGAAGATCACTGAGCCCAGGAGGTGGAGGTTGCAGTGAGCCAAGATCACACCACTGCACTCTGGCCTAGGGAAAAGAGCCAGATCCTGTATGAAAAAAAAAAGAAAAATCAAAGGGGCATCTTTGGGTCTCTTAAAATTAGTAAGTACCTGTTGGACTCCCCATGTAGGTGATTTTAAAAACAGGAGTCTTAGAAGTTAAAGTGGCAATGGGCTGACTTTTACATTCTTAACACAGGCAGCCAGCCATGATATTTCTATTGCCAGAACTTTAGTGTCTTATTCTTTAGTTTTATATTGGCAAGCACTTTCCGGGTTCTCTTCACAAAGTAGCCTCGGATATTTCCAATTAAGAGTTCAGATTCTTTGGGGGAAACTTTATGATTTCAGTGCTATGGTCCAAAATGATCCACTAGTAATGGCAGTTTCAGGCTTTGGGACTAAGAAATCTCAGAAGCTGCACTTAAGTGTCTCTGCATCTCAGGAGAAGGGGACAGGTGTGAAGACAGCAGAAACATTTCCCAATGTTTTACAGAAAAAGCCAATCTGGGCATCAGCTGGGTAAACCTAAACTCTTACTTATTAGCTTGTTAGGAAATATGCTTGTTACTTGGAAATATTTTCAACTTTGAGCACCCTGTACTAAAAGGTCTCTGAAATAGATATCAGAATTCTAATATGCTTCACATCTTGGAGATTTGCCTGAGAGGATGGGAAAAAAAAATCAATTCTGATTACTCTCTAGTGTCTCAGGGACTTTATCAACCAGGAGCCCAGGGCAAATCCCTAAAACAGAGTCAGAATGACTTTAAGGAGCTGGTAGTAATACCTTAGGCACAGTTTAGGGCTGAGTGTTCAGTGTTATCTGACTCCAGGAAATCCAAGCAAAATCCTCTAACTTGGCTGGGTGTGGTCGCTCAGACCTGTAATCGCAGCACTTTGGGAGGCCAAGGCAGGTGGATCACCTGACGTCAGGGGTTAGAGACCAGCCTGGCCAACATGGTGAAACTCCATCTCTACTAAAAATACAAAAACAGTTAGCCGAGTGTGGTAGTGTATATCCATAGTGTGTACCTGCAACTACTCAGGAAGGTGAGACAGGAGAATAGCTTGAACCTGGGAGACGGAGACTGCAGTGAGCTGAGATTGAGCCACTGCACTCCAGACTAGGCAACAGACCGAGACTCTATCTCAAAACAAAACAAAATACAAAACACCCTCTAACTTGAACTCTGCTTCAAGTTAGATACTGTTTACTTATTTATTTATTTAGAGATGGAGTCTTGGCCTGTCGCGCAGGCTGGAGTGCAGTGGTGTGATCTCGGCTCATTGCAACCTCCATCTCCTGGATTCAAGCAATTCTTGCACCTCAGCCTCCTGAGCAGCTGGGATAATAGGGATGCCCCACCACACTGGCTAACTTTTGAATTTTTAGTAGAGATAGGGTTTCACCATGTTGGCCAGGCTGGTCTTGAACTCCTGACCTCAGGTGGTCTACCCACCTCAGTCTCCCAAATTGCTGGGATTACAAGTGTGAGCCACTGCACCTGGCCTAGATACTGTTTAGATTCAAGAAGTAGTCATCTGTGGTAACTGAAAATAATGTAATCAGTACTTGGCATGAAAAGCAAACTTATCCTGTCAAAACTCATTACCTTGAAGGATGTAAGCTGCTAACAAGGCAGCATCTGATGTTTTACAGAGGAGGCGGCCATGGTAGAGATCCCTTTTGATCTGTAGGAAGACTAAATACCTGGGGAGAAAACAGAATGAACAATAAAGGATTTCTTTGATTGCTTTAAAGATAGAAATATGTAATGTAAGCCTATCTAAATCTTTGTCAGGATACTTTAACTACATTAAAAAAATTCTTGAAACATAACGTAGAACAAATACATTCTCCATTTCCCTGTAGACTCTTTCAAGTACTTTGCCCTGAACTCACGTGAGGTTCAGTTCAAAATATGTCAGTTTCCTCCTGTAGCTCAAAACAGAAATGGCTGTTTCCTGGTAAAAGCCTCACCCCTCCAGTTCTGGGCTTTGGAAGGAGCCAGTCCCAGTCAATCTGGAGCCGAAAAAGAAAACTATGCCATCAGAGACTGGCAAACTGGGCCTCTTTCCACCTTGGGTGCTGGCTGATGTTCCTTCTTAAGTAGAATGGTGGGTGAAGGAACTAGCCCAGGAAGAGTTGTTTCAGCTTGCCAAGAGAATCTGTCCATATGTGGAAACAGCCTGCAGTTACTGAGGTTAACCAGACCTTTGAAATGGATTGAAGTGTAAGAAGAGTGAGCTGAGGTTGCACCACTGTACTCTAGCCTGGGCAACTGGTGAGAGAGATCCTGTCTCAAAAAAAAAAAAAAAAAAAAAAAAAAAAAAAGGAAAAAGTGCAACGAGAGGCACGGCTGGTGAAGGAAGCATACAAATGAAGCAGAAACCTGGGGCCAGCATCTCTTTATATATAGAAAGCTGTTGCCTCAGGTGGAAGCAGGATATCAAAAACAAGAGCAAACAGTAGCTGACATGTATTGAGAGCTTATGATCTGCTTCTCTTGCTGTTACACACTTTACATGCAACATCTTATTTAATTCTTACATAACACTTTGAGATAAGTACTATTATTATCCCTATTTTTTCCAGATAAAGAAGATGAGGCCTTAGTGATTTTCTCATGGACATACAACTAAGTGGAAGAGCCAGGATTCAACTTTAGCACTGTGAGACCCTGAACTTCGCTCTTCATCACTACGATATTCTGCCCTCCTATAAACGCTCTGCAGTTTCACTAGGTGAATGGACCCTGTCACAGTGGAATGGAATTGATGACTTTCCATTTTGAAATGTCTTCACAAAGAGTGTGGTCTTTATTGCTCTTCTTAGAAGACCTGTGAGATTATGAGGAGCATCAATTTCTGGGTGGGATTGGGTGGGTCACCTACCATGGTAGCTCCTTGGCCAGGGAGCATCTGTGGTGATTTAAAAATATTTCTGGCAAGGCATGGTGGCTCATGCCTGTAATAACAGCACTTTGGGAGGCTGAGATGGGCAGATCACGATGTCAGAAGTTCAAGACCAGCCTGGCCAAAATGGTGAAACCCCGTTGCTATGAAAAATACAATTAGCTGGGCATGGTGATGTGTGCCTGTAATCCCAGCTACTCAGGACGCCAAGGCACGAGAATTGCTTGTATCAGGACCCAGGAGGTGGATGTTGCAGTGAGCCGAGATTGCGCCAATGCACCCTAGCCTGAGCTACAGAGCGAGACTCCACCTCAAAAAAAAAATACACACACACACACACACACACACACACACACACACACACACACACACACATACACGGGCCCTCATATAAAAATATTTCCACAAATTCTTTGATAATCCTAATTTCATGAGGTAGAGCATGATTCCTTCTCTTTGAGTGTGGCTTAGACTTGGTAACTCACTTCTATCAACAGAATTTATTCTATTGATAAGTGAGTATCTGACTTCTGAGGTCATAAAGTCACTGCAGCTTCCTCCTTGTTCTCTTGCCTTTAGATTACTCACTCTTCTTGAGGTTGCTTCAGCAGTATTATAGAAAGGTCCATGTGGTGAGGAGCTGGGGCCTTTGCCAACAGCCAGCAAGAAACAGGCTTCCAGCCAGCAGCCATTTGAGTGTCTCATGATGGAAATGAAGCCCCCAGCTCCAGTCAAGCCTGTGGATCACTGCAGCCTCAGCCAACCTCCTGACTGCAACCTCGTGATTTACCCTGAGCCAGAATCACCCAGCTAAGCTGCTCTTGAATTCCTAACCCATAGACACTCAGAGATAATAAAATGCTTGTCATTTTAACTTTTATGGTGCAGCATCCCTAGAAGAGTAATGAAAATATAGTAAAATTCCTTTAAATTCTACCACTCTGAACCAAAAAGAAATTGACCCCTCCCTGAAAAACTAGAGGTTTCCATTGTTCCTGTTTTCAGGCTGAAGAATAAAACAGAGGATTCCATGTCCACCTGATCATGTAAAAATGCTCAAGAGGAAGATGGCTGTTTGTCAACAGCTTCTAGGAGGTGGTAGGAAGGGGTCCCAGCAGGTAACTCTGAGAGGCTTGGGTTTGGAGATTCAAGCAATTAACAAACAGAAATGAGGGAGCAACCAAGCCTTCTTTTCTCCTCAGGCCTTGCTACTCAAAGTGTAGCCCACATATCAGGAGTATCAGCATCACTTGAGAGCTTATTGGAGATGAAGAATATAGGCCCATCCTACCCAGGTGATTTGTGTATAGATTAAAATTTAAGAAGCTGTCCTAAGAAAATTCAAAAGCAACCTTCTAACCACAGCAGATTGGACTGCCTTCCTCAGACCAAAGGGAGTCTTTTAGTCTGGAAGTTATTAAGAACCCAACCCCTCACTCCCACCAACCCTACTGCCCAAATGTTTGCCAAGAAAAACTAAAGGAAAAAAGACATCATGTAGAGTGAATAATTAAAATGGATCTACCAAATCAAGCTCGTCTTCACTCTGCTTCCCACAGCGAAATGCCACACGTTGTGTGGGAGAGAGTGAGCGAGCACTTCTCTGCCTCTCACTGTTCCAACTCCCACCATAGGCTTCAGCAGGATGTGGATGCAAACCTTTTGCCCCTTACTCACTGATCACTCCATGGGCCTGGATTCATGCATCACATCTTCCATGTTTCTCTGCTTGTCTGTGTCCAAAATTCAGGGACTGTACATACTGGACTAAAGAAAATACTGCAGAGGGATATCATGGCTCTGGCAGTGATTTTCAACATGGCAGAGAGGGGACCATCTTCCAGGGGGAGCCCGTCAGAATCCATATGTGTTGGATGTGCTCCTGTGCTTTGAAAAGGCCCCTTTGGGCTGAGCGTGGTGGCTCACACCTGAAATCCCAACACTTTGAGAGGTTGAGGTGGGTGGATCACCTGAGGTCAGGAGTTCAAGACCAGCCTGGCCAACATGGTAAAACCCTGTCTCTGCTAAAAATACAAAAAAAAAAAAAATTAGCCAGGATGGTGGTACATGCCTGTAATTCCAACTACTTGGGAGGCAGAGGCAGGAGAATTGCTTAAACCCAGGAGGCAGAGGCTGCAGTGAGCCAAGATCATGCCACTGCACTCCAGCCTGGGTGACAAGAGCAAAACTGCATCTCAAAAAAAAAGAAAAAAAAAGAAAAAGCCCCTTTAAAGTTTCTGGTTTGCTCCCCCATCCCCCCACCCAAGGGAACAGGATCCTACTAACTCACACTGAGAACCACTGTCTTTCCAAGGCATCATTACTGATGGCAGTTAACAGCCTCAGGTGAACTGGAATGGAAACTGGTCAGGATTCCTTTTGATTTCTGGTGATAAAACAGCTGCAGGGAGGTTAAAGGCAAGGCCATAAGGCATTCTCAGGCAATGTCATAGAACTAGATGGGAAGAGGGAAAAGGGTACACTAGTATCCTAAAGAAGCAAACCATAGTTGAGGACAAGAAGAGATGAGCTCATGAAAGAATCAACTGAGCTTCAAGAGAGAGGAAGCTGCACTGGGGCCCCCCTCCCCTTTCTGCCGCAGTGGCTTCCATGGAGCTTTGTGTTTGGTTCATTTAAGGAGATAACCAGTGACTCAGTGTTGTTGGTGAAAATATATTACACATGACTCATAGCATCCTTAGGCCCATTCGCAAGAGACCCTGGCACGTTCTCCCCTGACACACATGGGCCTAAGGAAGACAATCTTGTTGCCGGAGGTACTATCTCCAGGACCACTGTGTACTGCCAGGCAAGGGGTCAGCCTGCTGGGGCTGCCCAGTCCAGCCCTCCTGAATCTCTGAACCTCAGGACATTTCATAGCCAAGGAAACTGAAGTCCAGAGATGTAGAGTGACTTATCTGAGGTAACATAGCAATCAGAATCCAGGCCTTCTGACTCAGCCCAGTGCCTTTTCTACCCCCAGAGTAATTCAGTTAGTTATGAGGTTAGTCCTAATCCAAGTCAGGAGAACCCTCTGTTATTAGAGAGAAATTCTCACTGGGACAAAAGGAGAAAAGAGGCTTTACCTCACCTCCATTTTTGTTTTAATGCTAGTGTTGTCCTAAATTGATTGGAGTGTGAATCAGGACAGAATGAGCAAGAGCCTGAAAGACACCAAGGAAAACCTGAGCTTTTCTGTAACATGTATGTCTCTCCAGGGTACTAGCTTTAGCATAATGCTTTCTGAGGGTGGGAATGAATCCACAGTTATTTCCAGAGTTTAAGGCTGTGAACTCTTCAAAGCATTGCAGGCGCCTGTAGTTTTTTCCAGAAGATCCTTTGGCCTCACCTTCCCTTCAAATAGATTCTTTGCCACTGGCTTCCCCTATTTACTATTTCCTTTTTTCTGACTCTAATTATATTTAGTATGTCTTCCTCCCCCATATTAGATTGTAAGCTCCTTGAAGTCAGAGACTATGTTTTATTTACTTTTAATATTCTTCTAGGAAGCCTAAACATCCAGTGCCTAGCTCATCCATCCATCCATCCATCCATGCATCCATCCACTCCCCCACCCCTCCAACCCCCATCCATCATCCATCCAACCAGTTCTGACACTTACTATATGCCAGGCACTGTCACAGGTGCTGGGAATGCAGCAGGGAACAATCCAGTGTCCTGTTAATGGAGCTTACATTCCAATGGGGGAGATGACAAAATAGTAACAAAACAAAATAACAATAATGACTCACATTTACTGAATGCATGTTGTGTGCCCTGTTTCACATGCCCTTTTTCATTCACTCCCCCCAGTAACTCTATGAGGTGATGACCATTTTATTCCTTGTTTAATGGATGAGGAGACTGAGTGCTTAGAGACACTGTTGGCTGCCCTGTCACAGAGCTAGTTAAAGAACAACCTGAATCCAGCTCTTTCTGATTTCTTAGCCCAGGGGTTGGCAAACTATAGTCTGCTGCCATAGTTTCCAATAAAATAAAATTTTATTGGAACACAGCCTTGCTCATTCATTTATGTATCGTCTATGGCTGCTTTCACACTACAATGACAGAATTGAGTAGTTGCAACAGAGAACATATGGCCCAAAAAGCCTAAAATACTATTTGGCCCTTTACAGAAAAAGTTTGCCAATCCATCTTAGCCTAAGCTAGGCTCAAGTGATGTTCACTGAAGGAATAAGTGACCTGATGACTCCATTCATTCATGTATGTACTGATTGATTCTATTAACATTTTCTGGAGCACCTGTTGTTTACAGACATTTTGCTTCCTTGGACGGTGGGGCCCATTTGCAGTCAGTTTCCTTCTCTTACTTGATCTTTCCAAAGAGTTCATACACCTGCAATCCCTGTTAAAAGCCAAATCTGGTACCTGATTCCCCATTTTCTTTGCCTTGTCTCTAGCCTTGACAAGAAAATCTATTTATTACTTTAAAAATGACAAAATAAATTAATCAGGATTTGGCAACTAAATTTATCATCTGGAAAGAAGCCAAGAGATAAAGTGAACCAAGTTTTGTACACCCTACTTCATCCCCTTCTCTCAGCCTGGCTTTATGGGAATGGCTGAGACGGCAGTGAAATTTAGGACAAATATTGCCAGGAAAAAACACACTGACAGCTAAATTAGTTTGGCAGCAAGATGGGATGGAGGGCTCTAAGCCAGGGATGAATTATGGGTGTTGAGTGAGGCTGGGGCCAGTATCTACTCTCTTAAGATCAGTAGGGATGTGAATGAGGAGAAAAATGCAGCTAATTCCACAGCCTCACAGAATGGTCCAGGGAGGGGGAGGCACAAAGACTGCAAAGCAGGCCCAGGCACCTGTGGTTCATACGCCTGACAATGCTAGAAAATTACATACTAGGAATTACATACTAAGAATGCTGCTGAGGTTGAGAGAGAGGGGAAAATGGCCCAAGACGGTTAGCACAAATGCATGCAGATGGAGAAGAGCTCATTTTCTTGCCAGTGTCCTTGAAGTCTGCTGACTTGGTGAGAGGCCTAGCCATGGTCCTAATGCTGCGCTTACCAGGACTTGGATGATTACCTGGCATAGCTTTGTCTCTCAGAACTCAGAATTTAGCTGTTTAAGTTTTAGGATTCTAGCTGGTGGGGAAAGGGGACAGAGGAAGAGTAGAGATTATTAGAAAAGAAGTGCTTTTCACATAAACAAGGGAGAAAAGCCAATACTAACTGTACTTGTGCCCCATGCAGAGCCCCAAGGGCCTCTGGACTGTGTAATGAATCTGGCAATGAAATATTGAGCCTTTGCTCAGTGCGAGGCTCACTGTGGGTGTATTAAGAAGTATGAGATGCTGGGATAGTGGTTAATCCTCCTGACAATTCTATGAGGTAGCTATTACTATCGCCATTTTATAAATGAGTAATCTAAGGTTAGAGAGGTTAAGTATCTTATTTCCAAGTTGTCACAGTCAACTTGTGACATAAGTAAGATCTCAGCTCCCAGGTCTATGCTGCTTCTTGGGTAGGAAGGTCTGTCCATTCATATAAGATAGTGACACTGGATTCAGAAAATTGTATTTCTTTTTTTAGATGAAGTTTGACTCTCGTTGCCCAGGCTGGATTGCAATGGCGCGATCTTGGCTTACTGCAACCTCCGCCTCCCAGGTTCAACCGATTCTCCTGTCTCAGTCTTCCGACTAGCTGGGATTACAGGCGCTTGCCATCCCGCCCAGATAATTTTTTTATTTTCAGTAAAGACAGGATTTCACTATGTTGGCCACACTGCTCTCGAACTCCTGACCTCGTGATCCACCCACTTTGGCCTCCCAAAGTGCTGGGATTAAAGGCGTGAGCCACTGTGCCTGGCTGAAAACTGTATTATTAAGAGTGACTCCTAAGGGCCAAGATAATCATGTATTTCTGGTACATGAATCCAATTGGGAAGTCATATATCTGTGGTGCTCTCACTGGCTGCTCTCTCTCATCCCCACTGTTGGTCCAGTGAGGCGGACAACAAAGATGTGCTAGGTTTGCTCTGATATGTGAGGAATATAGGGGTCTGCCCTCACACCAGTGTCTCTTTCAGCAGAGAGAAACTCAGAGCTAAGGCAAACACTCTGGAGATTGTGAGTGTGGCAGGCTAGTGATATTTTAACAAAACTCTTGAATTTTTTTTTGTTTTTTTTTTTGAGACAGAATCTCGCTCTGTCACCCAGGCTGGCGAGTGCAGTGGCATGATCTTGGCTCACTTCAACTTCCACCTCGTGGGTTCAAGTTGATTTTCCTGCCTCAGCATCCTGAGTAGCTGAGATTACAGGCATGTGCCACCATGCTAGGCTAATTTTTATATTTTTGGTAGAGATGAGATTTCGCCAAGTTGGCCAGGCTCGTCTTGAACTTCTGACCTCAGGTGATCCGCTCGCCTCAGCCTCCCAATGTGTTGGGATTTCAGGCATGGGCCACTGTGCCAGGTCTGAAATTTTAAGCATAGTGGTTCTACCCTTACTCACCTATCTAAAGCCTTAGGGTCTCTATGATTTGGACGGATTTGGTTTTCTAAAGCAAAGCCAAGAGCCACCTGCACTTCTGTATAGATGAGCAGAGCCTGCAGCTTCTATGCTCAGTAAGAGTCATGAGGTTTGGCTCTAGCTACACACCTCACTGTGTTCAGTGTTTCAGAATAGGTGGGTATGCACTGCCCAATGCATCTGCAGAAAACAATCCTTCCTTATCTTTCGGAATCCATCAGAAGATTTCCCTCAACTCCAACTGGGTCCCATGTGAAGAAATCACTTTTCTCCCCTGTCCCACTTCCTTATTGCCTTTGCACTACTAATTCCTGTTTCTTGCCCTCTCCTTCCCCCATTTTCTGATTTCCCCTCTTAGAGAAACTTTTGCTCCTTTCACCTGGCATGCTCTTCAGATCAGGAAATGAAAATAATTCCGGCCAGGCACGGTGGCTCACGCCCATAATCCCAGCACTTTGGGAGGCCAAAGTGGGTGGATCACGAGGTCAGGAGTTCGAGAGCAGTGTGGCCAACACGGTGAAACCCCGTCTTTACTGAAAATAAAAAAAATTGGCTGGGCATGGTGGTGAGCCCCTGTAATCCCAGCTACTCGGGAGGTTGAGGATGCAGTGAGCTGAGATCACACCGCTGCACTCCAGCCTGGGCAACAAGAGCAAAACTCCATCTCAGAAAAAAGAAAAGAAAAAGAAAATTATTCCATATTCTTTCCTTCTTGTTCCCTCCTCTTTTTCTGTCTTTGGAATTTTCCCAAGCAGTTCAGGATCTAGGAGTGGATCTCAAATCCTCACAGGATAAATAGTCTACATGACTGGCAATATCCGCATTCCCACCTTTGCGGTCTCCAAGGTCTTAGGGAAGGGTTTAGAGTTGGCAGTGCTGTCTCTTCCTCAGCTCTAGGATTCCCTGGCATCACATCCTCATCTGTGGTCCTGGCTTCTACAAGGTAACATCAAGGTTTTGCTTATGTCGAAATTAGGTCTTTCTAATATAAAAATTAGGGATCCCTGTGGTAGAGAGTTCTTAAATCTCTGAGGTGAGACTGGTCAGAGTGAATTTGGTTCAGATATACAAAATCCTGGGGAAGCTTTGAAGCCTTCACTCATTGACCCTCTTTTAGGATGGGCTGGGGACACAGAGGTTCTTTCTCATCCTCAAGTGGTACTGGATGAGATAGGATGCATTCCATGCAGCTGTCTGCCTGCCACAGAACATGATCCCCACAAAAAAGAGTTTATCACGAACCTGATCCAACAGCATACCTGAGTTTACCCATTTTGATTTAAAACCTTCAGGACCTCCCAGCTTATCTTTCAATGCCATGCCTTGGCATTTTCCAAGTATATTCATTAGAACACTTGAGTCTATCTTCGACCCCCAAAATAAGCAGCAACACAGCCCTCTCCAAAAATGTCCACAGTGGCCATATCACAGGTAAAAGAAAAGATGCTTCTGATTGGTTAGTTACTCCAGATCCCTATGAGAGTGACCAGTTCAAGAAGCAATATTTGCACTTCTTGAAAAAAAGAAGTCCACTCTGTTCCAACTGCATTGGGGGGTAAGGAAAGAAAGCATGTAGAAATGAAATACAGAAGTCATTATATTTAGGAAGAGTTCCTTGCCTCTAAGAGTTAGGTGCGTCCAAATTAGAGGCTGTAAGAGCCTCCAAAAAGGTCCTAATGACTGCAGGAAGTGTGTTCACCTCACCTGGTTATTTCTTCTTTCAGAGCAGCAGGGTCTGCAGGATAAAATTTCACACGGAAGCACATGGTGAATGGAGGCTGGGCTGCAGAGAAAAAGAGGTGAACATCAGGGAAGGCCCTCTCCCAGAAGAGGACAGGGCTCTGCTTCCACTAGCATGCACAGGCCACTGAAGCACCAGAAGAAAACCCCCATATATTTAGGGCCAACTTATACACAAAACAGTGGAAAATTATATATGTAGACCAAGACTTGCGATAAGTGGGAGGTTTTATCCCGCCCTCCCCAGGGGTGTGGCTTGACTCTTCATGGAGAATACTTACATCTCAATTGTTTCACCACAGACTTTGTAAATTCCAGCCAATGCTGAAACAGAGAACACAGAATATGAAAAACCTAATGAGAAGGGCTGTAAAATATAACTTGTTTTCGCTAAGTTAAAAAAACTAGACAGATTGCAGCCTAGGGTGAAAGCAGCCCAAAAGCTGGTGCAAGATAAGTCTGGAGAGTGAAGAGTGATATGATTTTCTGAAATGAGCTGCCATGGAACCAGCTGTGAAAGAGGGAAGTAGTTCCAGCTTCAGATGCCATTTAGGTGCTTCCCTGGAAATGCTATCTTCTAGAGCAGGGTGCCAAACTTCAGAGCCATGTTTCTGGCATGCGATTAGGCACAGGCAACTGCATGTATGTGTGGTGGCGACAGAGCCCCACCTGGGTTGCGTCAGGAAATACTGACTTTAATGAGTGGTGTGTGTTTGTGTTATGCACCAGCTTTTTTTTTTTTTCCTTGGCAGGGTAGTGGGGATAGAGGATATTGGTAGCAACTCTAGAAAGTAGTGAGAAGTAGAAATTTCCTAAGTCAGGGATGGCTGCTATATATTCCATCTTTCTTTGAGTAATATAGATTGCCAACCCTTGTGTTAGAAAACACATACTCAGGATTCCTTGGCATCTACCGATGTTTAAAGTCTAAATCTCAAATGATAACTAACCACAACCAACCTGTAGGATAGTACCCTCTTCCCCTTGGATTTACAAAGAGGCAGGACATAGAGGTAATATACATTTTCCCATGGTACTTACATTTGGGGGAAGCAATGAAACCATTCTAAATGTGTTTATTAATTCTACATGGGTCCTTTATAAAATTTATTATTGATGTTTGTTACTTTTAGCTAATCAGGATTAGGTAGGACTGCTATTAACTGGGGTTTGATTATCTGGAGATAGCTGAACATTGCCAGATGTAAGCTCTATGAGGACCCAAAACTGTCAGTCTTGTTTACCACTGCATCACCAGTGCCTAGCACAGTGTTCAATAGGTAGCTGCTGAATGGCAAAGGGACTGGGCCCATAATTCCTTCTTTTCTGGCTACTTCCACTTAGTATAATGTCTTCACTGAGTCCTCCCTCTGGTAGGAGAGCAGCCAGGGCCCTGCAGTCAGCATCCTGGCCTTCCTTAATTCCCAGTGATCACCTTCTGGGCTAGGCCATGGGTCATGCAGTTAATGGACCCACTAAGAGCCAGTTCTTCCGTTAGCTCCACATGGATAATCTGGGCTGACATTCTGCTCTCCTGCTTTGGCTGATCTGAGTTCCCACGAGGCTGGCAACTCATTATAGCCACTCAATGTGGTTAAGAGGTCCTTCTCACATTACACGGCCCACCGCAGCTCTGCTTCACAGGGAAGCAAAGGCAAGAGATGAAATTGCTCAGAAACAACTGGGGTTCTAGGCTGTGCCTGTGAAGAGGGAGGAGGCCCATCTGTTCACAGCACACTGGAATTGTGGACAGTAAGGGGAAGATAGCCAGTACCAGGGACCCCGTGCACAGAACAGCAACAGCCCTAGACATTAGACTGATAGTTTAAAAGAAATAAACAAAGGGAGGAGCTATTCCCCTTGACAATAGTTGGAGAGAAGATTTTAGTTTTATTGTAGTGAGAGATCAAGAAAGGACTGATGCTGGAGGAGAGTAGCAAGGGGTGAGAAGGGACTGGAGAGCTGTCACAGCTGATCCATGAAATTTGGAGGCCAGCAGAGAAATCTTGAGAGGAACCCAAGAATACAGTGATGGCCAGAGTTGCCTTTTGCAGCTGCCTGGCCAAAGTGGCCCCAGATTCACTGGCAAACAAACAACATGGGCTTGGGAGAAGGGATCAAGAGAAGAGGAAAAGAAGATTCACAGAGGCTGGTTGTGGACGCTTAGACCTGTAATCCCAGCACTTTGGGAGGCTGAGGTAGATGGATCACCTGTCAGGGGTTCGAAACCAGCTTGACTAAAATGGAGAACCCCCATTTCTACTAAAAATACAAAAAAAAAGTTAGCCAGGCATGGTGGTGCACACCTGTAATCCCAGCTACTAGGGAGGCTGAGGCAGGAGAATCGCTTGAATCTGGGAGTCAGAGGTTGCAGTGAGCCAAGATGGTGCCATTGCACTCCAGCGTGGGCAACAAGAGTGAAACTCTGTCTCAAAAAAAAAAAGAAGAGAGAAGGGTTCCCTCCTCTGATTGGGTGAATGGGCCAATGTGCCAAAGTGGCACAATCTTCAGACTCTAGGGGCTTGAAAGGGTATAAAGGAGAGGCTGAGAGAAGGTGGAGGCCCTAGGCCTGAGTCAGGAATTCTAAGGAAGGAGAGTGAGGGCAGTTCCTCTGGGAGAGACCAGGAGAGCTCCCAGATGTATGGAGGCTCCTGCAGAGCAAGCAGTAACATGGGGTTGCATATGAGTGCTGGGTTCAGACTGTCTCGTGACCCAGGGAAGGAGGTTTATGTTAGGGCCTTACACCCTGATGGAGCAAGGGAGCTCACCTCCTCCATCCCTCCCATGAATGAGTGGACCAAGGACAACTCTTTACAGGTCCCCAGTTCCCTACAACTCTCAGATACTCTCAAGCCTCTCTGCTCTCCTTAACCTCTCCCACAAGGCACAGAATTAAACAACTTTCAGAAGCTATCAGTTATACATTCAGCATGGAATCTCAGAAACCACACTGGCCCTAGAGTCAGGCAGGTCTTAGCTCGAGGCTGGCTTTGCCACTTACCTTGGGCAAGTTACTTAACTTGTCTGATATTTTATTTACTCATCTGGAGAACAGATATTATAATTAGGGATACTCATCTCATTTCATTAAGGATGAGATGGAATAACATACACGAAGCTCTTAGCTTAGTGCCTGGCAGAACTCAGTAAGCAGTACACATCAACTGGAAGAATTAGGTTTGTGAGCAGCGCAGAGCCTGGCAAGCAGTAAGAACTCTATAAATGTTTGTTTCTCCTCTTTCCCATGTTCTTATCTCTCTCTAGCTCCTTCTCATTTTAACCTTGACCACATCCACATATTCTCTTATTCTCCTCAAGCACATTCTGACCTAACTAAAAAACCAATGAACATGATACAATTTGCCTTTTTTTCTTCATATACCACCATTCTAGGAGATAAAGAGATCTTGAAGTAACTGGCCCTCCCCCCCTTTAAAAAAAAAAAAAAAAGACAGAGTCTTGCTTTGTTTCCCAGGCTGGAGTGTAGTGGTGCAATCTTGGCTCACTGCAACCTCTGCCTCCTGGTTTCAAGTGATTCTCGTGTCTCAGCCTCCCAAGTAGCTGGGACTACAGGCATGTGCCTCCATGCCCAGCTAATTTTTGTATTTTTAGTGGAGATGGTGTTTTGCCATGTTGCCCAGGCTGGTCATGAACTCCTAGGCTGAAACAATTCACCTGCCTTAGCCTCCCAAAGAGCTGGGATTACAGGCATAAGCCACTACACACAACCAGCCTTCCTTTTTAAGGATAAAATTTGGACCAAACAAAGAAACGCCATTTGTAAAAATAGTCCATCATTACCTCTCCACTTTAGTGGGGATACCAGAGAGTCCATCTCCACAAAGAGCAAAGGGTAGATGAAGGTAAGTTATAGAAACTGCAGGTGTGTGCAAGCTGGGAGGCTGGGCAAATGGATGTAAGAAACATAGCACTATAAGCCATTAACTCATGCATTCATTTCTTCAGAAAATATTTCTTTTTCTTCTTCAGAAAATATTTATGGAATACCAACTACATTGTAGGCCTGTCTAGTTACCTGAGAGGCAGTGATGAATGAGATGAAGTCCAGGCCCTCATGGAACATATATTTTTGCAGGGAACACAGGTAATCACAGCATGATGTAGTAAGTGCTATAACAAGGGTAGCAGAGGGCACATGGGGGCCAAAAGGAGGATTACTAACATAGAGTGGGCTTAGAGAAGGCTTCCTAGAGGAAGTAAAAGTCTAAGCTAAGACCTTAAGTGTAAAAAGGAGTTAGCTGGAAGAAGATGTGGAATGTGGAGCAGTGAGGAAAAGGGAATATTCTAGGCGAGGGAACTCTATAGGTGAAGGCTCTGTAAAGAAAGAAGGTATGATGTATCTGGAGAGCAAAAGTACTACAATCTGGGTGGACCACAACAGGGAGAAGACAGGTCAGGGGAAATGAAGCTGGAGAAATCAGCAGGGGCCTGAGATAATGGCTTGTTCCCATATCTGTCTGGAATATCAGAGTCCTGTCTATCAGAACGCCGTGTGTCTGTAGAGCTGCCTACGCTGTGTAGAGCAGAGCAAGAACTATAAGATCTGCAAGGTGCTGAAGGGCCTGTGATGGTTTGGTTCTGTCTCTGTTCTGCCTAGATTGGGTTGGTATGGCACCTTTGGTGAGGCCTTTCCTAACCAGAACAATGTGGCTCAGCCCACTTACTAGAAAGCGGGCAGGAGAGGATTACCCTGTGACCTGGGCTCTGAGACCACAACCCCAGTACAGTTGCTCTGCCTCCAACTTTGTGAAAATCACTTAAGCTCCCTAGCCTGCCATTTCAGAAACTGTAAAATGACAAGCTTCTCCAGGTGAGCTCTAGCCAAGGTGCCTTCCAGGTCTAATGCTGTCATTTGAAGAGACAACATCCAATTACAGGGTCTGACTGGAATTGGGGACCTTTGAATTCTTCTGGAATCAGGGACCTTTGAATATGAATAACAAGACCTCAGGATTACTGACTAGCCCTGTCCACCTTTTGTGCTTTGAATATTGACTTACCCGCTGCTTATCTGGGTCTACAAAGCGTATCCCAAAATAGTCTTTCTCAAGTAGGTTCAGATGGTGGCAAAGAAGGTCGAACAGGTACTGGCCTTTGGCATCTCTCTGCAAAGAAAGCAAGCTCCATTGAGGAATGAGTGGGCTTTTTCGGTTTAATTTTTTTTTTAATAGCCGTTAAAAGTTGTTTGTAACTCTTGCCTATGAAAGGGGTAAATGTCCATAACTAAGTCTTCCACATTGTGATACATAATTGTCTGGAATCCAGAGGCTTTTAGCACCTGGAAGGAGTCCAAGAACCCTCCCTACCACAAAGATGTCAGAGAAGTCAGGTTAGAGGCTGGTAAGCCCAGTTCCCATCTCAAACGCATAAAACTTTCTTAAACTGTAGACATAAGGAATATCAGTGTGGAATACAGCAATAATTACACCAGGCCCAGGTGGCTGAGCCTTTGAAGTAAATCTTGAATCCACCAACTTCCCCCTCTCCATTACCAACACCATAGGTCAAGCTACCACCATCCCTCAACAGGACCACTGCCAGTCTTCTAACTGATCCTCTGCCTCTGCTCTTGCCCTCTTTAGTGCATTCTCTGCACAGCAATGAGGGTATCCACAGTTTAGACATCATCTCTTTCTTGCTGAATAAGTGATCAGGCACATAGTACGATATTTAAACATACAAAAGGATACACTATGAACACAAAGTCTCCTTTCCACCCTAGCCACCCTGTGCCCCAGTTCTTCTGCCCAGAAGCAACCATTATCACCTTCTTGAATATCTATTTTTTTGTTTTGTTTTTGAGATGGAGTCTCATTCTGTCACCCCGGCTGGAGTGCAGTGGCACAGTCTCGGCTCACTGAAACCTCTGCCTCCTGGGTTCAAGCGAGTCTCCTGCCTCAGCCTCCCAAGTAGCTGGGATTATAGGCATGCACCACCACACCCAGCTAATTTTTGTATTTTTAGTAGAGACGTGGTTTTGCCATGCTGGCCAGGCTGGTCTCTAACTCCTGACCTCAGGTGATCTGCCGCCTCAACCTCCCAAAATGTTGGGATTACAGGCATGAGTCACCATGCCCAGCCCTTTTGTATATCCTTTATGTGGTGTTTTAAACACAGGCAAAGCTACATACATATACATCTCCCCTTTTAAAAATACATTTTGTAACAATTTTAAACTCTTTTTTTTTCTCCCACATAGGGTATCTTGCGAATCCTTCTATGGCAATATATATAGATATATCTCACAGTTTTTAACTTCTGCATGTCACTGCAATGAACCTAAAATTATTTACCCAGTTCCATATTGATGAAATGTGTTTCTAATTTGCTATTACAAACAATGCGGCAGTGAACATACAATGATCTTTATGTTACTCACTTGTCTTAATACTTGTTGCTCTCAGAATAAAATGAAAACTCTGATCATGGCCTCGCAGGCCCTATATAGCCTGACTCCTGACTTCTGTCTGCACTCATCCCAAATCATTCTCCTCACTATACTCCTGCCATGGCCTTTCTGTTCTGGACTCCCCAAGGCTTTTCTGCCTCTCTGCCTTTGTATTCCCTCTGCTGGGAATGCTATTCCTACAGCTCTTTCCAGTCACTCCTATTTTTTGAGGAGTCAGCTCAAATGTCCCCTCTTCAGAGAGGCCTTTCCCTGTAGTATAGCTCTTCCCAGTTACTTTCCATCTCATTTTACCGTTTATGTCCTTCACAGCACTTACATCAATCCGTAATTACCTTGTTGATTTGTTTAGTTATTTATTTACTGTCTGCTTCCTTTCTACACTGTAATTTTCATGAGGTCAGAAGCCCCAGAACTTAGCACAGGACCTGATGCATGGCAGGCAGGTCCTCAATAGTTATTTGTTGAATAAATTACCGAACGAATAGAAGGAAAAAGGTTGGCTAAAAGGCTTCACAAAATGGTGAAAAGCTAGGCTGTTTATAACCCCATAACCTTCTACTTCAGGGAACTGCCTGGGTGCCAAGGATGAAGTGGGAGGAGAATGACTTGCAGGAAACGGTCAAAACATCTGGAGACTGCACAGCGTCCCTCGCTGGGCCTGTCCTCTGCAGCTTAATTCAGATCACCATCTCTGGCGGGTCCATGTCTAATTTTGCATACAAATTGAGGTTGTACGAGGAATTTCTGTGGTGTGGTGGTTGTCCCGTTTGCCTCACAAATTGAAGTTTGATAAGACCCAAAGATCTCTCCTGTGCCAAGGCCCAAGACCATGGGTAATTACAGAATGGCCTGGCCCTGCCGCAAGAACGAGCATATTTTTAAGACCTTCACAAAAAGTTTACACCTCACCTCTTCCCCTTCTGCTAGCTTACCCCATAACACCCAAGGGGAGCTAGGGCAGGATGCTTATCTCACGGCAGTTATGTTAAGAAGTTTATCCTTGCAAGAGCTGGAAGAATGGATGAGTAGACAGTTCAACTACAGGAGGCAACGTGGGCAACACCCCTCCTCTTCTGAGACAGGAATAATACAGGGTGGTCACAGGAAAGTAAAAATTCCAGACAGCAGTTTCACATGACTAGAGGCTATGGGCTGACAAGACCCTGAAAAACAGGGCATGGACCAAGCTAGCTAAGACCTACTGAACCCAACATGCAGCTGGATTTGACCTAGGTTTCTCCTAGGACCTCATTATAAACTCATTAACATACTAGATCACACACCTACCAGCACCATTACTGTTCAAAGACCACCCATATTTGCTTTAAAAATAGGTACCACTGCAGTTATGAGAAATCTCTACCTTTTTGCAAGAATTTGCATGAATATTCCACCCCTTGGTTAAAGAAACATATAAAGATAGAAACCCCAAAGCCCACTGTGCAACTCTCTCTCTCAAGTATGCCTGCACTCCCTTTTCTTGAATGTATACTCTTCTCTTTGCAATAAATCTCTGTACTTTTACTATTTTCTGACTCTTCCTTGAATTCCTTGACAGAATTCTTATCTTCTTAATGGTATAAAGAGCCTGGACACCAGCTGGGGTGGAGGTCCCCACCAGCCTACTGATATCACTTCTGCTGGCCTCGCACTCCCTGTCACAGCATAAGCCTGAACTCACAGGCCCTATTCCCCCCATCTTTGGTCTTTCACAGGAAAGAGTGACTCTCAGGACAGAGACTCATTATGAATCATGCTAGGACTTCTGGGTGGTGGGCCACAAACCAGGTCTTTCAAAGGACTCCATCACAACTTTCTTTGTGCAGGGCCTGTTAACTACTTCTTTACTGATGCTCAGAGAGTGAGAAGAGCTTAAACAGGTATTTCAGGTTCTCTGGGAGCAGAGGAAACATGTTCAACTCTATCCCATGCAGGATATCCTACACTCAGAGCAAGTGAAATGGAAGAGTGACAGACAGTAGCATATTTTCATTGGTTTTATCTACAAATTTTACTTTGCATCAAGCTGGCTATTACACTGTGATCAGCTGTTGTGAGGTTTTGTTTTTTTTTTTAATGAAAAAGTGTTTTTCACAAACACTACTACAATATGATGTGTGTTTTAAGGGCTGAAGAAGTTTGCTTCCATATATACAACAACCAGATTAGCAACTAATTAAATAGTTAGAAGGAAAACATGCTTCTGTGATGGAGATCAAACGGACTTTTAATAAGAATCCTGCCTTCCATAAAACTACTCAATCTCATGGGCTGGGAGCTCAGATGCACTTGTAAGGGTCTTAGCTGGTAAGAACCCTGAACTAAGTAGACCCAACTTCTTATTTCTTCCACTTCACAGGAAGAAAAGGAAGCATGGCTTTTCTCTTGGAGTAGTTAGGAAATAAGGACATATCCCATTACCCATTCCCTATAGCTACATTAAAAAAGACCTTTTTCTGGTTATTTCTCAGTACCTGGTAAATCCCCCTGCACCCGCACCATGAACTCATAGTTCCCTCAAGTTACCATTTACCAGTTACCAGTGGTAGATACACTGTTTTGAGCTACAGGACTCTTGCACAGACTAATGAAGAGAAGCATCTTCCTTTGCTATTTCTTCAAGGCTGGGTTAGGGGTGAGGGGAATGAGGAAAGAGGTAGACACAGACTTCCTTCTTGCAGCAGAATTCCACAAAACTTAAATCCTTAGCAGATATGCAAAGGTAGAATCAACTTAGAATGCTGCTGCTGCAGAGGCACCTTTCACAGAGGGTTGAGACAAAGCCCTTCCTTTGAGGTACTCACACCTACGGCTGTTGGAGTGGCCTGAGGCAGCACTGGGTGAAGTCACATGCAGCTGAACCATCATGATGGGCTCCCTACAAGCCAATGGCAGGGGCAAGATTTCTGAAATTTTACAACTTCCTGGGCTTGTGGGTCCCCTTGCACTGCCTGGTGTCAGCTGTGTCCTGGAATACCCTCTCTATAGTCTCCCAGTCCTAAGTCCAGGGGTTTCTGGAATATTCCGTGGCAGCCAGTCTTGTCTTTTGATGGCATGGGAAAGCCATCTTCCCCTCCCTTTGCCTGCAGTTGCCCTAGCATTGTGGCTAAACTGAGTGTTGTGCATTGAATGTCGTGCCATTGATTATACTGGAGAAACAGGCACTTGCGCTGACAGGAGATTACTGTTTAGTCACAAAGTCAGAGCTCCAAGCCTGAGGACGTTTATCTTCAGACAAGTGAGTGGAAGCAGAGCACCCAAATCCTCACTCTGCAGCTAAGCTCGTGAGGTTATTCTCTTTCCAAAGACATTATTGGGTCAGAATAACTTATTAAGCACTCATTTAAAAAATAAATTTATATTTTATGAACCACAACAGTACCTAAACATATTTGAAAATACTAGTGTATATAGGTACAACCCATTTATTCTCTCTATATGGTGCATAGAATGATTCATGAGCCTCTTGGAATCACTGTGCAGCTCTGAGGGTGGGATAATTCCTATTTTTGCTCCTCCCTGGAACACCTGGTTCTGGTTCTCTACGGTTTGCCTATTATTTAGGGAAGGGACAGAGGCAGCAAGCAGTAAGCAAGCTTGGGCCAGTGACCTAAACTATTCAAAGTTAATTGCATTTTCTCTCTAATCATCAGTACCCATGGGCAGGAGAGAAGCTTTATTTTAACCCATCATGGA